AGACATTGGCGCAGAAGCTGAGAGTGAGGGAATGGAACGGCAAGAGCCGTTGCAGCGACAAAATCCACAACTTCAAATACAACATATGGCTGAGGATCTTAGTGCTGCCGCGTTCAGCAGTTTGAGTGAGGAGGCAAAAAGTGAGTGAAGTGAAGTAATGTAACAGCGCAATTCTGGTTGAGATAGTTGCAAGCCTTTTGTAAGTTAATTGATATCATCATTTTACATATTCGCATTCGCATCAAATGATACGAATGTTTTGCGAATGCGAATGTGTACATGGGCAGAGAGTCCACTCTAATATTGTTGAAATGGCATTCGCGAATGTGGAAAATGTGACATTCGAAACATCCCTAATATGTACATACATCATTTTGCTCGCGCTGCTCCAAAATCGCAATGGCGAGTGGTCTAAGCNAATTCAATCTTTGTTTCGAAAAAATAAAGTTATATATTTTTTTTAATTCACTTAAGTTTTTGGAAACTTTTTATCTATTTTTTCATTCTGAATTTTTTTGTTTCAAATGGAAAAATATTCTTTTAATCTTAGTTAATTTTTAGAAACTTATTTTATTTGTTGCGTTTCGTTCTTTTTTTAATTTAACTTTTTGATTTTTTTGTTATAAAAAGAAAAATATTATTTAAAATTTATGAACTTTTTTTTGGTTTTCTCTTTTTTTTAAATTTGATTGGCTTTTAGTTTTAGAATTTTTCATTCTAAAAAAATAATAATTTATTTATTTAATTTTTAGAAGCTTGCTTTTTTCATTTTAAATTTATTTATTTTTCCTTTTTTAATTTTTATATTTTGTTGCCATTCGAGAGATCTGAGGTTCGAATTCTCGGGCAGCGGAATTTTTTCTTTCTTTGATTAATTTTTTTTTCTTCCTTGTATTTAATTTACTTCTAATTTTTAGATTTTGTTGTTTTAAAAAGAAAAATATATGTAATTTTTTTAATTGAATTTTTTTCCTTACTAAGTAAATTTTTTAAATTTTTAGATTTTATTGGTTTCAAAAGAAAAAGATTTGTTATATGTAACACTTAGAAATCTTTTTATTTACTTTATCTCTTTTAATTAATTTTTCTTTTAAATTTCAGATTTGATTATTTTAAAAATTAATATTTTTTTGTTGCATTTACTTTTTAGAAACTTATTTTATTTATTTGTTCTTTGTTTTTAATGTAATTCTTTAATTTTATTTGCCGTTAATTTTTATCTTCAATTTTTCTTTTTTAAGAAAAAAAAGAATATATTTATGTATATGCTTTTTTGTCTTTCGAAAGTCCGTGGTGAGTTGAAAGACGGTTGCTACTTTCGAATTGGAAGGTTAAAGTTTTACTATAGCTTTTAATATAAGATATGTACTTATTTCCGTAATTGTTAGAGTTATTATAAAAACAGAAATTGTATTGCATTCCACACAAGGCACTTCAAAAATCTCATCCACCACACCCACGCCACCTGTAATCTCACAGAGCGCTATGGATATGTTGGCACAACTCTTTCCGCATCGCAAACGCTCTGTGTTGGAATTGATATTGAAGCGCTGTGATTTGGATTTAGTGCGCGCCATAGAGAGTGTTACGCCCGCGGTCAGCAGCGCATCGAATGAAGCGCCCAAAGCTGCCTCAACAACTATGCTCAGTCATGCGGCAGCGACATCATCAACAACCACAGTTGCGCCTATTCGAAGCGCATTTAGGCCCGTCACTGCTGAGCTGGTAAGCAAATGACTAACTTCTAGTAACGAAATGGTTATCCATCTGCTTATCTTTCATTCACAGTACGCTCATAAATCTGCCCTTATTAATGCCACTGGCAGTACAACAGCTACGAGTGCTGGCACTCCAGCTATCTGCGCTTATCCCAAATGGTTTGTGCCGCTCTCCTTCCCCGTTACAATGGGCCATCTATCGAATTTAGCGCCACGTTGTACACTCCCCAATTGCACCTGCATGGATACGTATCAATTTAATTAGTTAAATTGGGGAAAAATCTGCTAACAATAATATTATTAATTATGCTACTGTCTATTATTTGTTTAGATACTCGTTCATTTTATATTTTATTGGTTCATAAAGATTGATTTTGTTGCAAAAGAGAGTTTGTTTAGATTTCTGCGGTAAGAAAAAGTAGGTACATAGGTAAGTAAATTAACCCTTTCGTTCACGTGGCAGCCATCGGGCAACAAAATTTTAACCCGATGCTGGAACCTAAATTAGGCTCTGTAATATAAACGCCTTGGGCGATTGGACTTTTAAAAATATTTGTCTTCAAACTCAAGGTTTCATTTTTGCACCTAAAAGAATTTAGAAGGAAAGGGTTTACAACAAATGGAATGTACTATAGGTTCGATTACCTTAAAAGATCATGAAAGGGATTTTCTCGAAACTATTAAGCTAGCATTTTAGGGTACTATTTTTTATATATAGAGAAAAAACTTGGAATTTACGGAGGCTCCAGCTCCCCCTGCGCCTACCTGGCTACGCCCATGGTAGCAAGTATTGCTGCTGGTCGATTTTCTATGATGGAACAACTCTATAGAGAAACAAAAATGTTAGATAAGGCTTCTCTATACATATTAAGGTATGTATGTTTTTAAAAGTGTGCTAACTCAAATTTTTAATTTTTCACAATTCAAGTTTGAACCTTTTTAATACAAGTAGATAGTATCGAAAATTACCTACATATCGTGAGTTAATATACTTTGGTGAAACATGTGCGGCATATCGGTAGATACCCGCTTGAACGCAATAAAAGCTATATTTAATTAACTACTGAGGGTGTAATTTTAGCCAAGCGTAATTTTTGTCTGAGAATTCAAAGTCAAAGGGCACAATCATTCTCACCACAGAAGCCAATGTACCCGCCCGTCGCACAGGGGTTCAAAACTGGAATTTAATTAATTGCTTATTAAATGAAAGATAATGAAATTTGCGCGAGACCAGTTGAGCTCTATTTTTAACCGACTGTACAAAAAGGAAAAGGTTATCAGTTCGTCGGACAATTTATTTATTTTTTCTTTTTATGTATGTTACCGCATAACTTTGGACCACGTTAATCGATTTGGATAATTCTCTTCTCATCGGAAAGGTGGTACCTCCAGAGTGTTTAGATCCGATGATCTAATCTTAATTTTTATATGAATCTTAAATTTTTATATGAGAATTGAAGTCGGTTTTGTTTTTTGCTTACACTTTTTAGTGCAAAGTGCAGAAAAAGTGGGAATAATAATTCAGTTAATAATTGTTACATAATAAAACCTAGTTGACAATAATTGTAGGGTTCGCCAAATCGAAAAAAATTCAAAAAATATTTGAAATGTCAATAAAAAAATCCTCAAAATTAAAATTATTTTAGTTCCTAGAAAAATTTTAGGTATGCAGTTTTATAGATCATGAAATTTTAGTACAATAAAGTTCAAGTTCCAAGTGGCTAAGAGTTCGCGTTGATTTTTAATAATATACACTTGCAACTTGATCTTTTTTATGCTAAAATTTAACGGTCTATAAAACCGCATACCCTTTCTACGACCTTGTTTGATTTTGGTGACATTTTTTTTAATATTTCAAATCTTTCTTGTGATTTTTTTTTTCATTTTAGGGAAACTCTACAATTGTTTTCAACTAGGTTTTATTATGAGCATTTATTAACTAGAACAGAAGAATCGATTTTCGTCAAAATTGCAATTAAGCTTTCACTAAAAAAAAAAAAAAACATATTAATCAAATTGTTTGAAAAATGAAGGTTCTAGTGAATTATGAACATTAAATTCCAGTATTGAACCACTGTGCGTCGGGTCGGCAAAATACATCGCTCAAAGAAAGTCAATAGATAAAAAAAAACCAAATCCAACCGAAAAATAAAATAAAATAATCTAAATTAAACACCGGTGGCAGTGTTCATTATTTACATAGATTATGACTTTATGGCTGCAATAAACCGCAATAATGCCGCATTATTTAACCATTGGTAGTTGAGTGACAGTCCATGAAAACCAGCAAACAAAAAGAAAGCGTAAAAGTAACAAACAATTATCCAATGCACTAACTCTGATACACAGAGAAAAATATGACTTATGTCTGCATACCACTGGGCATTAAATGACAACAATTTTATTGAGAAACTTGAGCATTAAAAAATGTCATTAAGTTTGTTTGCACATGGTATTTTTTAAATTGTATACATTTTTTGCCATCTCAATGCCTAGTGGAAATTCGCATTATAATAATTAAAAGAAAATTGGCTGGCCATGTACAAATTTTTTTAATGTTGGAATTATTATCTTGCTCAACTCATGAGTTACATACATATGTAATATTAAAAAGACTAAAAATTATTCACTAAAGGCAATTTATTATCAATTATTTAGTCATGAAATATAGATATAAATGTGTGCATATATAGTATATAAGTATATACATTAAAATTTCAACACAAAACTACAGAGAAAATAGCACAATATATGACCATAAATATGTACATATCAGTGATGTACAAAATTGTATGTGACTATATAGTAAGTACAAAAGTATTTAGGTATTTATGTTGTAGTAAATAATCACCAAGTACCAAGTATGATAATACATACATACATACTTACATTCTAAAGTGTGCTAAATACCTTGAGTAAGTTTGTGCATAAATGCATTTACATATTTTTCCAGGACTAAATATAGAATAGTATTAAGTGACTTATACCTAAAAAAATATCACCTACAAAAGTACTTAGTATTTACAGCTTCACTATATATTGGATTTTTCACCGTGCGATTCAGGGATCTACGACCGAATATCGAGGTTTAGACTTTGACACAAAATTATCTCGAAAAAACACGAAGAGACCTGGAAAATATAACCCAAGGAATCCCGTAAAGAATCCTGAAAATAAAAGGAAGTCTTGAAAAAAACTCGAAATAATACTGAAAATCACGAAATAATTACGATATCCCAAAGATTCCGAAAAATATGTAACAAGAAGGATACTGAAAAACTTAAAAAGGGTCCAAAATAGTACTGAAAATCCCACAATATCGAAAAATCCCGAAAAAATACCGAAAGGTACCGAAATATATAGAACAAAGAATACCAAAAAAATCCAAGAAAAAAA